GTCAGTTAGTCAAACACGATCTTCCCTTTAGAAGGGAGATTTGCTCATGGGGAGTTTTTAAACTGATTTAGCAATGGGATGGCACACAGAATAGATGGAAAGTTGGGACCAAGGCCTTATCAGATATAGAAGGAATGCTAGGACAGTCCAGTAAGTGGCGAAGACATGGGCAGAATAAGGCATGTTGGAGGGAGGTCTAAAGAACTAAATTGTATTGACTTCAATGCAAGGAGATTGACTGGTAAGGCAGATGAACTGACTGCATTGATCAGTACGTGGGAATATTGTTATAATCACTGAGACATGGCTGAAGGAAGGACAGGGCTGGCAGCTCAACACGTCAGGGTATAGAAATTTGAGGCACGGTGAGGTTGGGGGCTGGTGGTGGAAGTAAGACAGGTGGGAGCATTGCATTGATCAAGAAAACTAACTCTGCAGTAATGAGAGAGGACATTGTAGAAAGCAATTCAATTGAGGACAAGAGGGTAGAGCTTAGAAATTAAAAAAAGGATTATACTATAGGCCTCCCAACAGTCAGAGGGAGATGGAGGAGCAGATATGTAAGCAAATCAGAGTTATAGTTGTAGGAGATTTCAACTTTCCTAACGTTAACTGGAATCGCCCAATTGACCAGCTGATCAATGTCCGACTGGATCAGTCAGCGTGGAATTTTAAGTGAATCCAAGTAAGCTTTTCATGCCAGTACGTAGGTAGGTCCTACTGGAGATGGGGCAGGGCCAGACCTAATCCGAGGGAATGAAGCCACTCAAGTGGTTAAAGTTTCAGTGGGAGAGTGACCATAAATTGTAAATTTCAAAATCATTATGGAAAGGCGAGTGCAGAAGTCAAGTGTCTAAACTGGGGAGGCCAGTTTCAGTATCAGTAGACAGGATCTGGTAAACATAGACTGGGAGCAGCTACTTGCAGGTAAGTCTCCATTTGGGAAGGGAGAGTCTTTTAAAGATAGAGTGAGAGTTCAAGGTCAGTGTGTTCCTCTTAGAGTGAAAAGCAAAGGCAGAAAGTCTAGGGAACCTTGGACATCAAGGGATATTGAGCTTTTGGTAAAGAAAAGAAGGAAGCAAATATCAGCTATAATGCAATAAAAACAGGGGAGGCCCTTCAAAGGAATAGAATGTATGGAATTGCTTAAAAAGGAAAGGAGGGGAAACAGGCCATAAAATATCTTTGGCATGTGGGCTCAAGGAACGCCCCAAGGCTTTTTGTAGATATATTAAGAGTAAGAGGATTACCAGTGAAAGAGTGGGACCTATTAGAAACCAAGGGGGCAACCTGTGCATGGATGTAGGTGAGGCCTTAAACGTATCTGATCTCACAAAAAAGAAAGACATTGTAGATGGGGATTTCAGTTGGGATGATTAGGTTCTAAAAACCTTAACATTAAAAAGGGGAAGATATTAGACTTTTTAACAAGCATAAATTCCTAAGGCCTAATGAGATGTATCCCAGGCTGCTGTGGGAAGCAAGGGAGGAGATTGCTGAGGCCCTGGCAAAGATATTTAATCCTTCGCTGGTTACAGGTTTTGGATAACTGGAGGATAGCTAATGTTGCTGCTTTGTTCAAGAAAGGCAGCAGGGACGGGCCAGGTTATTACAAACCACTTAGTCTGACATCAGTGGTAGGGAGATTATCAGAAAAAAATCTGAAGGACAGGATTAATCAAGACTTGGAAAGGCAGGGATAGTCAGCACAGATTTGTTAGAGTGAGTTCCTGTCTGACTAATTTAATTGAGTTTATTTTGAAAAGGTAACAATATATTGATGAGGGTACTGCAGGTGATTTGGTTTATGTGGACTTCAGTAAGGCCTTTGTAAAGGTTCCACATGGAAGGCTGGTCCAAAAGGTAATAGCCCATGGGATCCAAGGCAAGTTGTTAAATTTGATCCAAAATTGTGTTACAAATAGGAGGCAAAAGAGTGATTCTGGAGAGGGGTTAAAATTGAATCAGAGATAGTAGGAACTGCAGACGCTGGAGAATCACTGAGACAACAAGGTGTCTCATCAGGGTCTAGGCCCGAAACGTCAGCCTTTCTGCTCCTATGATGCTGCTTGGCCTGCTGTGTTCATCCAGCTCTGCACCTTGTTGTCTCAGTGATTCTGGAGAGTTGTTTTTGTAATTGGGAGCTTGCGACCAGTGGTGTATCCGCAGGATTCAGTGCTAGGACCCATGCTGTTTATTATTTACATTAGCTGTTTGGATATGAATGTAGAAGGTATATTCAGTAAGTTTGCAAATTATATGAAAATTGTGTTGTTGACAGTGAGGAGGATGGTCTGTAGGCTACAGTCTGACATTGATCAGCTGGTCAGTTGGGCAGAGCAATGGCACATGGAATTTAATCCTGATAAGTTCGAGGTGTTGAATTTTGAGAGGTCTAATAGAGAAAGATTTATACCATGAATGGTAGGTTTCTAGGTAGGAACAAAGTGACCTCGGTGTACAAGTCCATAGATCCCTGAAGGTGTCAGCACAGGTAGACAAGCTAGTGAAGAAGGCATATGTGATGCTTGCCTTCATTAGCTGGGGCATAAAATATAGGAGCAAGGAAGTCTAGCCACAGGAAGTTCTGGTTGCCACAGTATTGAAAGGATGTGATTGCACTAGAGAGAGTGCAGAGGACACTCACCAGAAAGTTGCCTGGGAGGAAAAGTCCCAGTTATGTGGAGAGGCTGGGTTTGATTTACTCAGAGGAGAGGAGGCTGAGGCAGGGAGATCTGATTGAGATATGTGAAATTAAGAGGTATGGTCAGGGTAGATTGTGAGAATCTCCTCCCCATGGTAGACGTGTCTTAAGACCAGGGACATAAGTTTAAGGTCAGGAGCAAATGGCTTAGAGGAAATCTGAGAAAAAAATGTTTTCACCCAGAGGGTGGTAGAAAAATGGAATGTGCTGCCTGAGAGGATGGTGGAGGTAGGTACTCACAAGAAGCATCTGGATGAGCACTTATAATGCCAGGGCATAGGAGGGTATGGACCCAATGCAAGTCAGTGTAGATTGATCTGCATGGTGGGCCAAAGGGCCTCTTTTTGTGCTGTATGACTGTGACTGTAAATCAGGCCTAATAAACCCACATTTTTCCATGTGGTTACTAATTTGATCCTGAATAATTGTTTTTATTATCACACTGTAACGACACAAGCAGCACACTTCAGGTCTGTGTGAATAATGAATACTTTGATTATAAAACTTTGTAAGATTTTGTTTTAAATTTTATTTACTTCAGGCTAGGCGACAAGCTTTGCAAGAAGAGATTGACAAATTATCTGGCAAAACTGGTACTTCTGAAAGTGAAGCTTCTCCAGAAACGAAACCAAGAGTAAGACTTTTATGACTAACATTTATGTTTAGTGGATGAGACACTTATGGAAATCAGTATCACTGGGTATTAATGCAAGGAGTATGATCAGCTGTGAAATGCAGTTTGAAAGTACAAGTCTGGATAGGTAAGTTGATTCAAGGAGCTTACAAAAGACACTGAAATCTGCACCTTTGCTTTTAAAGGTTTATAGCAATCCCTTGTTTATTGCCTGATATTTCTTGCCTATAATAATGAATTGAATACGCTGATATATAGGACTGAAGTAGTATACATCTTTTATTTATTTTTTCATGGGATGTAGGTGTCTCTGGAAAAGTCAATATTTACTGCCCATCCCTAATTGCCCTTGAACTGATTGGCTTGCTAATTCTTTGCCTATTTCAGAGGGCAGTTAAGAGTCAACTACATTGCTATGGGTCTGGAGTCTTGTTAGAAGGGCTGCCATGGAAAACACTTCTGTTTCAACTGAACACAATAGGTTACAGTTTTTCACTGGTTCATTTCTCTGGGCAGTGCCTTAACCAATCAGAATCAACCTGCCTGGTTTTAAATGGTTAACTGTCAATCATCTTTAACTAGCAACACCTCTACCAATTAGTAACCAGTCAGTAGCCTTCTCTCATATAGTATAGATGGAGTTTTCCCTTCACATTGGTATTCTTGCAAATTGATGTGTGCAAGATGAAAGGCTTCCAATCAGTACTCGTGTTCTGTACTAGCAAACAACCAAATTACTTGTCCAACCTCTGGATTTAAAATAAACAATACCAAGTCCCTGATCTTTTGAAGAAGGCCAATAAATTCACCATGGTGTTGACCATGAAGTAACCATCACACAATGCTTCTAGAGACAAAGTCCAGTCTCCACATCAGAATACCCTCCATTTTGTTGTGTGGTGCTAACACTGACCTCAATGGGTTAAACGTTGAACAAATTCAGCAGCTCAGAACTGGACATCCATGAAGTGCTTTGGGTCATCAGCTGCAACAAAGTTATATTCAACCGCAATCTGTAACCTCTTAACCTGGCATTCCCCTACCCTACCATTACAGTCAAGCAAGGGATCAACCCTGGTTCGATGAAGAGTGCAATTCAGGAGCAGCTCCAGGCAAAAACTGGGTGTAAACTTAGTGAAATTACAGCATAGAACTACTTGCACACCAAAAAGAGAAGGCCACATGCAACAGTCAGCACTATATGAAAAGTCAGAGATAAAGCAAGTGAAGTCAAGAGAAGGGTTAAATGTGGAAAGGAAGCCAATGACATTTTCAGGTCATGCAGGAACAGCAGGAGATACTTCAATGAATCAAAAAGAGGTGAGGGAGGGCCTTCTAGGACCAGGCCATAGTCTAAAAGAAAAATTAGCCAGATTTTTTAGGAGTGAAATTAGGAAAGGAGTGGTAGAAGTTTAGAAAGCTCTTCTGAAAATTGTAATGGATGTCAAATCAATTGTTAATTTCAAACCTGGGATTGATAACTTTTTGTTAACTGATGGTATTAAGAGTTATGGGGTAGAGGATATGGCACTAGGTGACAAAATAGTAATGACGACACAGAGCGATGAAGACTTGAATGGTGGAGGTGCTGATTTGTCCACTGTATTTCTACATTTGCGGAGAGACCTGGTCTACTCCATGCCTGGCCAGGAGGAGAGGGAGGATCAATGGATTAAACTCTCACTATCATTCTGAGCTGTTGGAACAGTATATTTTTGAGCTGCATGATTTTTCAGGCTTTCTGAACTATCAGACTCTGCCCGGTATCCACCTGTGGGCAGCATTCAAATCAGGCCAAAGTCTGAAACTGAATCATTTCCCTGAGGCAAACATGAAATGGTAGACACCCGCTTCATTGACCTTGTACCCACTTTGGAAGGAAGTTGAATTCTCAACATGCCTACATTTTTCAATGCAAGCCAGTTGAGCTGAGATGACTGACCTCTCAACAATCACAACCATCTTACTTTGTGACGTATATAACTCCAACTAGCAGAAAGTTTTCCGGATTCCCATTGGCATGTTTTTCTTGGGCTCTTTGATATAAAATGCAGCCTTGATGTCAAGGGTAGTAACTTGTCTCACTTGTGGAATTTAGTTCTTTTGTTCATGTTTGGGTCAAGGCTGTAATGAGGTCAGAAGTTCCATGACCCTGGTGAAACTCAAACTGAACTAAGCATCAGTGAGCGCGTTATTCATTTGCAAGTGCTGTTCAATAAAGCTGTTGACTGCTGATGATCGAAAGTAGACTGGGTAGTAATTGCCTGTGTTGGACTTTCCTGCTTTTTATGCAGGGGACATACCAGGGCAATTTTCCATATTGTCAGGTAGAAAAATCAGAACTCGCTGGTGAAACTCAGCAGGTCTGGCAGCATTTGTGGAAGGAAAGCAGAGTTAACAGTTCTGAAGTTGTCGTCAGACCTGCTGAGTTTTGCTAGCAATTTCTGGTTTTGTTTCAGATCTCCAGCGTCTGTGGTTCTTTGTTTTATTTCTCTTGAAGACAAGTATCTGAAATATTGGAACCTCTTGAGGAGGCAGGGATGAATCTTCACTCAACAGTTTTGGCTGAAGGTGGATATAAATATTTCAGTCTTGTCTTTTGCACTGACCTGGAAAGATGTAGGAGTAGAATTAGTAAAGCGTTTGATAAGGTTCCCCATGGTAGGCTATTGCAGAAAATACGGAGGCATGGGATTGAGGGTGATTTAGCGGTTTGGATCAGAAATTGGTTAGCTGTAAGAAGACAGAGGATGGTGGTTGATGGGAAATGTTCATCCTGGAGTTCAGTTACTAGTGGTGTACCTCAAGGATCTGTTTTGGGGCCACTGCTGTTTGTCATTTTTATAAATGACCTGGATGAGGGCGTAGAAGGATGGGTTAGTAAATTTGCGGATGACACCAAAGTCGGTGGAGTTGTGGATAGTGCGGAAGGATGTTGCAGGTTACAGAGGGACATAGATAAGCTGCAGAGCTGGGCTGAGAGGTGGCAAATGGAGTTTAATGCGGAAAAGTGTGAGATGATTCACTTTGGAAGGAGTAACAGGAATACAGAGTACTGGGCTAATGGTGAGATTCTTGGTAGTGTGGATGAGCAGAAAGATCTTGGTGTCCATGTGCATAGATCACTGCAAGTTGCCACCCAGGTTGATAGCGTTGTTAAGAAGGCGTACAGTATGTTAGGTTTTATTGGTAGAGGGATTGAGTTTCGGAGCCATGAGGTCATGTTGCAGCTGTACAAAACTCTGGTGCGGCCGCACTTGGAGTATTGCGTACAGTTCTGATCACCGCATTATAGGAAGGATGTGGAAGTATTGGAAAGGGTGCAGAGGAGATTTACCAGGATGTTGCCTGGTATGGAGGGAAGGTCTTATGAGGAAAGGCTGAGGGTCTTGAGGCTGTTTTCGTTACAGAGAAGAAGGTTAAGAGGTGAATTGATAGAGACATACAAGATGATCAGAGAATTAGATAGGGTGGACAGTGAAAGCCTTTTTCCTCGGATGGTGATGGCTAGCACGAGGGGACGTAGCTTTAAATTGAGGGGTGATAGATATAGGACAGATGTCAGAGGTAGGTTCTTTACTCAGAGAGTAGTAAGGGCATGGAATGCCCTGCCTGCAAAAATAGTAGACTCGCCAACTTTAAGGGCATTTAAACGGTCATTGGATAAACATATGGATGATAATGGAATCGTTTAGGTTATATGGGCTTCAGATTGGTTTCACAGGTCGGCGCAACATCGAGGGCCGAAGGGCCTGTACTGTGCTGTAATATTCTATGTTCTATGTTCTAATTAGGCCATTCAGCCCATCGAGTCTGCCATTCAATGAGATCGTGTTGATCTGAAAGCCCTCAACTCCACATGCCTGCCTTTTTACCATGCACCTTGATTCCCTAACTGATTAAAAATCTGCCTCATACTTGAATATAATTAATGACCCAGTCTCTCAAAGAATTCGACAAATTCACTACCATTAGAAGAAATCCCTCATTTCTGTCTTAAATGAGAACGTCCTTATTCTGCCATTAAACCTTCTAGTCCTAGACTGTTCCATTACCAGAAATGATCTTTCTGCGTCTACCCTGTCAAACCCTGAAAAATTTTGTATGTTTCATAGAACAGTACAGCACAGTACAGGCCCTTCGGCCCACGATGTTGTGCCGAACTTTTACCCTAAACCTAAGGTCTATCTAACCTCCACCACTACCTTATACTATCCTCCATATGCCTATCTAATAGCCGCTTAAATGCCCCTAATGAGGCCGACTCCACTACCCTCTCTGGCAATGCATTCCACGCCCCGACCACTCTCCGAGTAAAGAACCTACCTCTGACGTCTCCCCGATATCTACCTCCTTTCACTTTAAAACTATGTCCCCTCGTAAAAGCTACCTCCACCCTAGGAAAAAGTCTCTGGCTGTCTACTCTATCTATACCTCTGATTATTTTGTACACCTCAATCAAGTTACCTCTCATCCTTCGTTGTTCTAAAGAGAAAAGCCCTAGCTCTCTTAACCTTTCCTCGTAAGACCTTCCCTCCATTCCAGGCAACATCCAGGTAAATCTCCTCTGCACCTTTTCTAACGCTTCCACATCTTTCATGTAATGAGCTGACCAGAACTGGACACAATACTCCAGATGTGGCCGAACCAGGCTTTTGTATAGCTGGAGCATAACTTTACGGCTCTTGAACTCAATCCCTCTATTAATGAAAGCTAACACACCATATGCCTTCTTAACAACTCTATCTACCTGGGTGGCAGCTCTCAGGGAACTGTGAACATGAACCCCAAGATCCCTCTGCTCCTCCACACTGCCAAGAATCTTTCCTTTAACCCTGTATTCTGCTTTCAAGTTTGTCCTTCCAAAATGAATCATCTCACACTTTCAATAAGATCGCGCTCAACTCTTCTAAATTCTAATGATACAAGCCCAAACAACTCAACCACTTCTCATAAGAAAATTCTTCCATACCAGTTCAACCTAGTGAATCTTCTTTGGATGGTCTCCAGTGCTCGTGTATCTTTTCCTAGACAAGTGGAGCAAAACTGCTCACAGTATTCCAGATTGGCCTAACTAGTAACTAGGATGGGGAAATTTGTGGAGCTTCCACCTCCAGAGAGTTGTTTAATTGGTCACCATTCACGATTGAATGTGGCAGGACTGCAGAACTTACGTATGATTCATTGGGTGTGGGATTACTTAGCCTTGTTATAGTATCCTCTATTTGGCATGCAGGTAGTCCTTTGTTGTAGCTTCACTGAGTTGGCACCTTATTTTTAGCTATGTCTGCTCCTGGCGTGCACTCCTGCTCTTTCCTTTGACCCAGGGTTAATCCACTGGCTTTATGGCAATAGTACATTGTGGTATTTTCTGGGCCATAAGGTTACCAATTGTGGTTGAATACAACTCTGCTGCTGCTGGTCGCCCACAGCACCTCATGCAGCCCCATTTTTTATTTGCTAGATCTGTTCAAAATCTATGCTTTCAGGCTACTTTGTCATGGATGTATCCAGCATCTTGTGTTTTTGCAGCTGCATTCACCCAGGCAACTAGGGGAGTATCTCATTACTCCCCTTTATTGGTGTTTTATTGATGTTGGACAGGCTTTGGGGAGACAGATAGTGAGTTACTCACCATATGGGCAGTAATTACCTCAAAGTGGGGTCAGTAAATCTACTGTTCCATTGATGCCTGAGCTGATGCGACTCGAGATTGAATCCTCTGCTATATCCAGTGATGGACTGCTTTTAATAACACTACTATAATGTATTTAGAACTCTAATTACTATATACGAATTGAATTGGTTTGATCATGTGCCATATGCTCTCTCAGCTTCATTGCTGATTAGTCTAAAAGACCCTGAAGCAGGAAATTCTTAAAAGGTTTTTCTGTCCCAAGACTGGACAAAAACAAATTGGAATTTTGCTAACTTGAGCCTCTGCAGAACACAACCTCTGATTTTACCTTGCTGCTGCTCTGACAGTTCTGTTTTGCATGGCAAGGATTACTACGTCATTGAAATGAGACTTAAACATCAAAATGTTACCAGTTTCTGTGGTCACAGAGTGATCAGCTTGATAACTCATTGCACTGTTCACAGCTTCAAAAAAAAACCTCATGCTTTTTGTGTATTTATGCCAATTAATATTGGAGATGATTTATTAACGATATGCTCATGAAACCAAATCCTAAAGCCAACATGATTGGTTATTCTGGAATATTGCAATCTTTGATCCAATACCTTTAACTCCTTTCTCTCTTTAACTTTTATTTTCATATTCATTTTGCCCTCTAGTGTACTGGCACACAATGGGACACAGCCACTTTTGAAAGTACAGAGCAGAAAAACAAGTTCTTGAGACTAATGGGTGGATTTAAGTCATCAAATCAGCCTCCATCGTCTGGAAGCACTGGAAAGCAAAACATGGTACTTAATAAGGAAGAGGAACAAAACTTTAACAGGACTCTGCAGAAAGAATTTGACAAAGCATTGAACCTTCGGCAGCATCGAGGAATTGGCTTGGGTTTCCAGCCTTTTTCAAATCCGGTTAACAAAACATTTTTTATAGACAAGTATGCCTCAAAATCAACGAAGTTCGATTTCAATTAGATAAACTGATCTTGGCACAGGATTTACTTGAAGTAATGCAATGCTGTATGGTAACATTTTAAAGAGTAAGTAGTTTTCTGCATTCCCTTTGTGTTTTGGAGTTACATGGTTTCATAAATAGAGCTGAATGAAACATGCTGAATTCAGCAGTCTGCTTCACCCTGATCCAAGCCTGTCAAATTGTGATCCTTATCTGAACAGCATGTACTTCCAAAGTCAATAATGCAGCAAGAATCCAGGCTGAGTGATACTTTGTCAGTTCAGTATTGGATTTCATATTGAACAAAGAGCTGGACCTGTCTTGACTGACTGGACCAAATGCAGCTTGGCACAGCTTTATTTATATTTTTCCGGTGACTTTGTTCTATTTTACCTTTGCTTCTGATCAGTTAGAAATGTTGTGTTCATTTCCTTAAATTAACAATATTTTAGGAGAATAAATGCAAAGCTTTAAAAGCAGTCTGTCTCATTTATTGGAATCATCTTTGGAAATTTTGTAATTTCTTTTAATTAAATGAAAACAAACAAGATCAATGAAATAATGTCATTAAAGGGTAATTTTAAATGGATGGTTGTTATCTAAGCATCAAAAGGATTTACTATTTTTTGGAACCTCAATAACCAGAAGTATTTTCTATCTAGTTGACAGCCTTTTTTGCTGATCACTTGTAAAAAGAAACTCCACGTGAGTAACTGGGTTTCATTCATCACCTTGCGAAAACAAACCATTTTTCAGTGTTAGAAAGGGAGCTTCAGTTACATCCAATGCCTTATTGGCTCTGTTTCTGAATGTTGCCTGTTTCAGGTGATAGCTCAGAAATCTTTTTGCAAAAAGCATGTGGTTGACAGTGTATTGTAGACTGTGATGGAGTTGTCAGCACTCACCAACAAAATACAGAGTCATTCATCCACAATTTGCTTTATGCACATCCTGGAAGATTAGCAGTGTTCCTTCTGAATCCATGATATTGCCAGCCCATATATGGCCCCTGCCCTAGGATCTAGGCTTCCTAGTTGCTCAAAGCTGCCTATGAATTTTCAATTGGATCAACAGTTTGATAGAATTTTGAACAATCTTGGAGAAGCTTCAGGTTCTTGTGCAGACTAGACAGTAACCAATTTCAAAGAGAGCATCTTCTTCACTGCCAAAGTGTTTGTTCCTCCATTTCTGAAGGTATACAATACACTGGTTTGCGCCAAATATTGTTTAAACACTATTTTCTTCAATCCTGCTGGCATTAGCCTCACCTCTCCTACATTGCATTGTTTTCTCACACAATGTATTCTATTCATTGATTCTCTCACCCTCCACAGGATTTGTCAAACTGTTTACTTTTGGAATCGCATTTGAGCTAGAACTCCAACTTAAACCATAGTTTCTGTGATGATGATTGAAACATTTAATTTCAGTACAAAATCAGTGAGTCTTTCTCCAGTGGTTCAGAGAGATTTATTCATTTACCTTCTAAAAGCTTGTGTATTTTAAATCTTTAATTCTAAACTGTTTTGTAATTTATTTCTTGAAAATAAGTAATTCAAGTTAGGTAAAATCTCATCAAATGATGTGTCTCAAGACTTAGCCCAGATTTGAATTAGTGCTACTTTTAAAATGCCAATTCAAACATTTAGGCCAGTTGGTACAAGGCATGTTTCTGATCAGACATTCTCCATTCTAGGAGTCCATAGGAGGTTTACAAGAATATCCTGGGGATGAAGACTCATCATGTGAGGGACTCTGGGTCTGTAGTCCGATGGAGTTAAGAAGGAAGAGGTGAGATCTGATTGAAACTCACAAAATACTAAGACGCCTGGATAGAGAAAGTAGGTGAGATGTTTCCACTAGTAGGAGAGACCAGGACCTGAGAGCACAACCTCTGAGTGAATGGATGACCCTTTAGAACTGAGATGAGAAACTTCTTCAGGCAGAGGGTCATGAATCTGTGGAACTCACTGCTGCTGAGGATGGCAGTGGCCAAGTCATTGAGTGTATTGAAAATAGAGATGGATAGGTTTTTAATTTAGTGAGGGGATCAAAGGTTACAAGAAGACAGGAGAATGGTGTTGAGAAAAATATCAGCTACAGTCGACTGGTGGAGCAGAGTTAATGCCAAATGGCCTAATTCTGCTCCTAGGTGTAGTCATGTGCCCTGCCAAGTGGCAGTTCCTCACACAAACAAACATTGATACTATTGTAAGATTGCTGAATTATATAGATATCATAGTGAAGCCTAATACTGTTGTCACTAAATGTCTCTCAATAAAACACTGCAATTCACTAATCAGGGTGAGGAGCCCTGTCTTAAGTTCTCTTCTTTCACCTTATTTGAGATGCCTCTACTCTAAAAATGGTTTTTCTGATGTGCATTTTTTGTTTGTCTAATACATTTGTTTCTTCTTCGGTCCATACTTTTTTTTTTTCAAACACAGCCTCTTATTTTCTACAAATTACTTGTACCAATTACAATCCATTTCATGTCTTGAACACTTCCAGTGGGTCAGGTAGTGCTGTGGACGTGGTATAATTTTCTCCCAACACAGTGGTATGTTGGTAATGATTTGCTGCTAATTGATAGATTTTGGGTTACAATCATCATAAAGACTATGGCACAGGGAAGTAACATTTGATCAAATGAATTGCATGGTATTTGTCTCCAGGACTTGAATCCTTCTGACTTTCTGTACTACTTGATATTTATTTTCTCAACATCTAATTCCCTTTCAAAAGAATGTATCTTTTACTTCAGAGTTTGTGGCAGAGTTCCATAGTCTATCGATAGCGTGGTCTTTCTCAGCAGCCTTTAGTTCTTTTTTCCTTTTTTGAACATTGTGACTGATGATGCTTTTCTTAAAAAAAATACAATAAATAAGCATTGATAGTATTTAAGATTCAAGAGTCACTTTCTCAATCCTTTGAGGTGGGCTAAGATTATAAAGCAATTTGTATGTCCTTAATTGCTGTGATAACTAATACCCCACTGTGTGGATCTCAAGGTGGTAATGCAAGATTGGAGTTGCATAAAATTACTGAAATTAACTACTTACAAATATCGACAATTGAAAAATTTGAGGTGGAGGAGTTGGGACTGAAGCTTCTTTACAAACATCTTCCAATCATTCTACATGCTGCTCTATGTATTGTATTTCTAGTAAATACATAATGCCAGACTAATCATACAAGTGCCTGGTGTGTAACATGATGTGCCTGGTATACAAAAGCAGAGGACTGGAAAAAAAAAGCAGAAAGTGCTGTAGTTACTCATATCTGGAGGTTTTTTTTTCAAAAAAATTCATTCAATAATGTACTCTGCTTGCACCATTGGTTTTATTTTTAGAATTCCAAATGTTTGCAAACAGCTGAAGCCCTTACACACAGATAATAGTTCAACTGAAACTCAGATGCAATCTGGATTTCCACCTTCCCTATTTCCTTTTGAATGTCTTTTTGCTTTAATCTTGCAGGTTGCACTAGCCAGCTGCAATTTGCTCCTAATTTTCAGTACTTTAGTGGTACTATTGTTAAAAATAGTGCAAAAGGTTTGGTAATGTAAAACCGTAACTAGCCTTGACATGATGAAGGGTGGCACTCTGTCCTCCAGTGAGTTTCCTGTTTCAGCAAGGTGTCAGGTCACATTTGTACAGTGTCTTTGATATGCAAAATCATCCCAAGGCTCTTCATAAAGGCATAATCAGAAATAAATGAACATCAAGTTGAAGAAGGGTCACTTGGACCTGGAATGTTAACTCTACTGTCTCCACAGATGTTGCCGGATCAGAGTTTTTCCCAACAATTTGATTTTGTTTTTGATTTCCAGCATCTGTGGTTCTTTGAAGAATGCGTGGCCAGCAAGGAAACCACTGTAATCAATGAATGTTTATATCTCAAACTAACAATGGCATAATGACCATTTTAGCAGTTAGATTCAAAGGGATTATGATAAACAAAACAGGGTGGCACAGTGGCTAGCACTGCTGCCTCAAGGCCAGAAACCCAGGTTCGATTCCAGCCTCAGGCAACCATCTGTGTGGAGTTTGCACGTTCTCTCATGTCTGCATAGGTTTCTGCCAGATGCTCTGGTTTCCTCCCACAGTCCAATAATGTGCAAGTTAGGGTGGATTGGCCATGCTAGCTTGCTGAGTGGGTAGATTAGCTATGGGGATGTAGGGTTACAGGGAAAGGGAAGGGGGGTGGGTCTGGGTGGGATGCTTTTCAGAGGGGCAGTGTGGACGTGTTGGGCTGAATGGCCTGTTGCCACACTGTCAGGATTCTATAAAAAATTATGGAAGTGAAAGGCAGTTTGGTGATGGAGAGGATACATGTCTAGGTTTGGAAGTCCAGCAACAGGTGTCAGGTCAGTGCTTTACTCATTCACACGATACAGGCATCATGGGCTGGGCCAACATTTATTGTCCATCTTTAGTTGCCCTTAGTGGGTGGTGGTGAACTGTCTTCTTCAACCACTTCCCTATTAACTGGTCCTGGCATCTTCAGGGATCTGTGGACAAGCACCCCAACACCCCTCAGTTCTTCTGAGTTTTCTAATGTCCTATCATCCAGTAAGTATTCCCTTGTCACTTCTTCCATCACCTTTCACTTGTATCATCACAACTCTGATGAGAAACAATTCTATTATGGTAAGGTCATAAACCTAATAAATTAAAACTAGCTTAGTAATCTGCTTCCCATTTCAATGATACCACCATATTAGGAAGGTAATTGACACTGATGAATAAATTAGATACCAGTTGCTGCCATGTGAGGGGAGTGGTCATAGTAGCCCCATTCCAGCATTAACAGCATTGTGCAGGTACATACCAGAGTACTGCACTAGAAATACACATTTTTAGATCAAACATTATATGACAAATCTGTCAATCTATTTAGAGGAACTATGTTAAATAAGTATTGAATACAGAATCACACCAAAATGAGACAAAAATGCAGTCAAAATGTAATAAAGTTTTCTTTGTTTGTACAGAACGGGTGTCATTTCACAATAAGCTAAACACAGCATGCTCTTGTGTAATATTGGTCATGTGTTTACATCACTGAATTTATCAGCACATATGAGAGCTGCACGTACCAATTTGCTTCTATTAGCACAAATAGAAGGCATCATCCTTCATTTACAATTTAATTTTAAAGCATCAATTTTGTTTTAGAAAACACAAATAATTGCTCAAGGGAGTTAAATATTTTCCAAAAAGTGCCATTAACCATAAACATGCCAAACAAAGGAATATGAAAATCATTTCAAGTTTATGCACAATTGGAAATATTCTTAAATATCCCCTAATTGACAGGAGGAAGGACATACAATTTCATGAAAACTGGGAACAGTGCAAGTCGGTGTATAAAATTTTCAAAAAGAAAATCTTCCTCCAAAATCTCTTAAATTAATGAATACCCTAAGCATAAAGACAATTCACAAACTCAAGTAATTATACCTTTTTGGCATGCCCATGCAGAAGCACATAAACTGAATGATTTCAAGGGAAGTTCACCACTTCTCAGCTGAGACAGGAAACAAAGACCAAATAAACCAGTTTTTCCATACCTTGCAGATGATCAATTATTCAACATTTATGCTAATCTTATTTTCTAATCACAGATATTTGAGAGAGTAGAAAAATATGAAGATGAACTTGCAGAAAACTTTAAAAATTCTATTTCTAATTAGCTGAACTGATGCGACAAATTGCTGTCAAATTACTAGCTTGAAATTTGAGCTACAGAACCAAAAAAAATTACCTATGTATTAAGTGGGCCAATTATTCAAATTTATTCTACAGGTATTGGATACAATTACTGTACATAATATAATGAACTGAATCATGATAGATTTCAGAGAGCTGAGTTACTATTTCCACTGTCAGTATTCTGCTTCTTAGTGAATATACCTTGGTTTAGAGGACTTCAATATTAACTTCAAGGTATTACAAGTGCTAATTAATTATGGTCTCTGATATCTAAAATTTGGAATGAAGCAGTATTAATTCAATGCTTAATTTCTCTCCAAATCTCTTGATTTTTGTTGTTCCTGTTTTTTCTCCTGCACCTGATCTAGTACAAATTGCTCAGTGCTGCTCTGATCTTCATCAATAGAAAGTACACAGCTATCACCAAAACTAGTAACTATTTTCTCCTGTACTGAATGGTCCAACTTCCATCTAGTCTTTCTGAAAATAAATTCTCCATCTGCTTTCATATGGAAAACTGACGAAGCTCCTCGAGTTAGTATATAGCACTTGCTATTCTAAACTTAGATGCATTTTTTTTAAAACTTTAGCCACTTGCAGTAAAGTATCGCTTGGTAAAGTTATGAACTTGGTATATTTTAGTGATTTTCCATTTTGAAAGGCAGACATCACTTCTCAATTGGCAGTCGTGCTTTTGTGCAAACGAGCGACAGTATTTAGGTCCGTGACTGAAGTGGGAGCCTTACTGTTAAATCTGCAAAATGACTCATGTTCGGCTGTTTGCTTTGACGTTTGATGTGTTCTAATGTTCTCACCTTCAAAACAATAAACATGGATCAGAAACGCAGGCAATTCATAATAAGTGAGTCATTAGAAAGGTTCTACAATTATCCATAAACATATTGTAAAGATCACAATGCAATTTGTATAAGAATAATTAGAAATGCAGGAATTTTCAGCCAGGAGACCAATCTCTGGGGCATCTAAAATGGCCGAGCCTGTTAATGATCCAGTCCAGAAGGGTAATACGCAAAATGTTGACTGTTTCTTTCCTCCAGATGCTGCCAGGCTTGATGTGTTCTGGCCTCCTGTTTGTCCACCTTGGATTCCAGCATCTGCAGATTTTTTTGTCTCTTTCTTTTGAATCAATGTGCACATTTAGTATCTAAAAGGTGTATAAGTTTATGTCATATTGTAGTAGATTAGTGATTCTTTTCTCTTCTCTGCCATTTATTGAAGAATAAGTTTGTTTACAATAGACAGTTACTTCCGTGTCAATGATGAAACCTGCTGTGAATTGTTTTTGTTCTGAATAGCAGCTCATTGGGAAAAATGACCATTCTGCAATTTAAAGAGGGTGGCATGGTGGCTCGGTGGTTAGCATTGCTGCCTTACAGCAGCAGGGACCCGGGTTTGATTCCAGTCTCCGGGCGACTGTCTGTGTGGAGTTTATACATTCTCCCCATGTCTGCGTGGGTTGCCTCTGGGTGCTCCAGTTTCCTCCCACAAGCCAAAAGATGTACAAATTAGGTGGATTAGCTACAGAAAATCCTTGTTGAGCCACAATAAGCCACATCCTTAGTGTTATAGACCAGACCAAACCTGCTTCAACTGTATCAAGGAGATAGCCTAGACCCCAACTTCAACTTTTTCTTATATAAAGGCAAGTGTAAGGTGCTGTGTTCCAGATGTAATTTGATTGATTACACTACTCAGCTTTAAGCAAAACATTCTTTGTTCTTACTCTACAGTTAAAACACAAACAAAACAAGGAGGAATTGGTCTAACTTTAACTCTAAAAATCTATTATTCTGTTGTTTTCCAATAACTACTAAACAGCAACTGTTCCCATATAGTAACATCCCATAAAAACACCCTTGGCAAAGGAAAATTCAGTAAAATAGACTGTCTTACATGCAATTCTAGCATCAGAAAGAGCCCAAGCTTTTAGCTGTAGCAAAGAGATGTACAGCTTTCACAACCAGTTTCCTAAAAATCCTGTGGGGGCCTGATTCCACCTCTTCATGCTGCTTCTATTGTTTCAACTTTTGAAAAGAAACAACCAAGGCCTCACAAGCTGTTTACTTTGACAGTTTTGAACAGACTGCTCGGCAGTTCTGTCTCAACTACTCTTCATTAAAAAAAAAACAGGACAAAATACACCTCTTATAGCCAAAGTATTGTTCTACCAGTCTCAGACAATTTCCAAATCAGGTCAATAATAACTTCAATTTCATGAGCTTTAACTTCAACTAGCAGTCTCTTACAAGGGATTCTGTCAAAGTCTTTCTGGAAAACAAAATTCATTAATTCCCTTGACAACAACTGTCACTTCAACAAATTCAAACAATCAGGTTCATTAAGCTTAACCTTCCCTTTAGAAATCCATGTTGGTTTCTTTGATCATCTGAGAATAAGAAAGCATTCAGAAACATTCTCTTTAATTTACTGACTTCAGTAACTTCCTGACAACAGACATCAGGCTAACTGGTCTATAACTTATGGGTTCTTACCTCACACTATTCAACTGTGGAGTGACTAGTGTAATTTTCTAATCCAAGGGCATGGTTTCTGAACTGAGAACACCCAAAGATTATATAGTTAAGGAATCTCCTTCACCCACTAAAACCTTGGAATGGAAAGGACCAGGTTCAGGGCATTCACCGTTCTTCAGTGTTATCATTTCTTCAGGACTATTATGTTGATTCAGTTAATCCCATTTAATTCGTCTTTGTCTGACTCAATAATAGTTTTGTTGGGATAGTATTAGCCAGCATTTTGATATCTTCCTTAATGCTACACAACGATTAAAATAATGAGAGGATCAACAAGGGGAGGACCCGGAGACAGGCAGTCAGCATTTCAGAGAGCAAAGGGATCATCAGAAACCTCAGGGATAATTTGTTTATGGACCCAGAAGTGAACACAGTCCTCAAAATGAATATTTTGTACAGGTCTTCACAAAGAAAAAAGGATAATGCAAGTACAGACAGAGGTGGAGAACTGAAATATTTGAAGAAATTAACAGCGAACATGAGAGTGTACACAAGGAGGTATAATGGTTTAGCTACCTTAAACATGGATAAATCTGAAACCTAGATGACGAGGCAATGCAGGAAATATCAGGGGCCTGACAACAATTTTCAAATCTTCTCTGGCTACAGGAAGTACTAGAGGACTGTTACCATTATCCCATTTCTTACAAAAAAAAAGGGAGGCAGAGATTGACCTGTAATTTCCTGATCTGTCAGTCTAACCTCAGGTGGTGGGGAAAAAATTATTAGAAAAAATTCTGAATGACAGAATATATCTTTACTTGGAGATCATTTAGATTAACCAGGGATAACAGCATGCATTTGTTAAAGCAAACTTATGTTTGACTAATTTGGTAGAATGTTTTGATTGTTGATAATGGTAATGCATTTGATGCAGTCTACATGGATTTCATCAGGTCACCTTGATAAAGTCCCTCATGGCAGGTGGGTCAAGAAGGTAAGAGCCCATGGGACCCAAGGCAAAGTGACATGTTAGACCCAAAATAAGCTGAGCCACATGAAGCAGAGTGTGATGGTAGAGGGATGCTTCTGTGACTGGATGCCTGTTTCCCATGGAGTTACACATGGTTCAGTGCTGGGACCCTTGCTATTTGTGGTCTGTGTTAATGATTTGGACTTAAATGATGTACAAGGTATGATCAAGAGGTTTGTCACTGACACAAAAATTGGTAAGGTAATAAACAGAAATGACAGATGATAAACAGATGACAGCTACAGACTGCAGAAGGATATAAAAGATTGGTCAGGTAGGCACAGCAGTGACAAATAGATTCCAACCCAGGGAAAAGGAAGAGACATAATGCACTTGCAGAGAACCTACAAGGCAAGGAGTTACACTATGAATGGTGGGACCTTGGAAAGTACTGAAATCAGAGGGACTTTAGTGTGCATATCAAGTTAACATTAGAACCAATGAGGTGTAATTTTCTAATCCAAGGGCATGGTTTCTGAACTGAGAACACCCAAAGATTATATAGTTAAGGAATCTCCTTTGCTGGTCTTTTAAGGCATTGGTAAAAATTTAATGGATTTTCCCCTACTACCCTTATTTTGTCCTTACAGCTTTCACAATTAGCCCCTCAACAGGTATTCTCTACCACTCAGTGGCAAAAGGCATTTGGAAGAAAGCAGCGACTCTAATAAACTGATGGAAGGTCAATCATGCAGGTCATTAAATTATAACAGTGAGGCATCATTGCTCTATTGCTCTGTCCTTACCATGATTTTGGTGTCAGCAAACCCATGTTTTTGGGCAAGATTCCACAAATTTATTGTCAGCTGATTAAGTTTATGGTTTTGCAGGTCTCCATGGGCGAGTATGCTGTTAAACAAGGATAATGCCAAGGCACTTTGTCGTTTCAAAGTCTGTAAAAATGAAAGAGGCATAATGAGGATTTCATGCTGCAGTAACATTTATATCAGACACACACCGGGATCCTCTGCATAGTCTATCGGCTGAGTCTAGGCATCAAATCTAAAGGATTGTAAGACTGACTTTTTTTTTAAAATAAAGCATTGCTGAAAATCACTGTCCAAAAACAATGTGTTGCTTGGTTGCATGTGGACTCTGATTTGTAGGGACGTTACCATAGAGAATGAGCTAAAGAACTGTCAGAACAGAAGTACAGCTCTGCATTTCCAAGGGAGACCAGAGCAAAATCTCCTCAGAAATACAGAGCTCCCTTCTTTCATAAAAAGAAACGGGCAGAGTAGCAACCTGTGCGAAAAAAAACGAGAGAATGATTTAAAAAAAAAAGGATAGATGAACATTGTAACCAATGCACTAACTCCAATAAGTGGTTTATTGAAGCCAAATGAAAATAAAACATCCCTATACGTTTGTACAGCTATTGGAGCTCACTGGGGACAGCAACACTATTGACATTTATATGGAACCTTTAACAAAGATTCCAAAGCATATCATAGCAGTGAAACCAAAAACAAGTGGTATGGAGGCTAACGGAGTTTTTAAAGCAGATTAACCAGAAGCTATGTCAGGAGGTGGGTTTTAAAGAGGGAGTTACTGAGCGTGGAGTCTAAATATCAGAAGGCACTGTGACCAAATTTGAGGGAAGAGTATGGGTGATATGGAAGAGACCAGAGGATCTGGAAGAATGGGACCAGGGTAGCATTTTACAGTTAACGGACATTCTAGAAAGGGGAAAAGACAACACGAGTTTATAATCTTAAATTAACAGCTGTCTGGTAACCAATATTGCCAAGCAAGGTCAGGGGGTCATGAACAAGTGGAAGTTAGTTGGTGCAGGGTGAGATAAAGCCAAGAGAGCACCGGGCAAACCATTTGTAGGCTGTGTGGTCAGGTCAGGCAGCAAATGCAGTGGTGTTTCTGGAGGATAGTGATTTCAGCAGATGGATGGTGTGGGGTGAAGGCAGATGATGCAATGGAGATGGTTTTATGGTACAGAGCCCGTCAATCCAATATTCATCCTAAAATTAGGTAGGGTGCCAAGCTGCAAACATTTGGATGCAATATTTGTGCTGAAGGATGGAATCTGTAGCAAAGCTGCAGTTTTGAAAAGGAGCCGAAACCAATGGCCTTCATTAATCCAGGATCTAGTTGGTAAACCATCTTGTTTTCACGCTAACATTTCTTCCCGGGCCTGCTACAACGTTCCAAAGCACAATGCAAGCTCAAGGAACAACACCTCATTTTCCACTTAAATACATCACAGCCTCCAGGACTCAATGCTGAATTCCACAACTTTATAACCTGACCACAAGAAATCGGTCCTCCGTTTGTTACATTCCCTCTGCCTCTTCTCTACACTACCTCAGCACCCCGCTTTCCCAAATGGACTCGCACAGTTTACTTTGCTCTCAGCAATGAGGACCTACTTTCTCCCTCCCATACCATAATATAAGTCCAGAGAGGAGAGCAAGAGCAAGGGCAAGGGGCAAGGGCGATCTGATGGCTTCAGGTAGCTAGAATGGGTTGTGTCAGATAAACCCCAGTCTGCATTCCAGGAAAGTTGAATGACCTGATGCAGAGAAGACAAATCAGAAGTGCAATGACTAAGGAGAAGCAAAATAGATTTTTGCTTCATTGAAATATTGTTCAACCTTATTTACACCAATATCATTCAATTTTAAACCACAGCTGTCCCTCAGGGTACCTCTGGTTTCCACATTATCCCATTAACAATTGTAATATCGATCCCCACAGCTATGATAAAGCATGACATTAACAAGAACATGAAGGTCTATTATTTACAGGCCAGCAGAAATAGAACGGCATTTTCTAAGGAATTCTGTATTGCTGACACACACTGACACTTAACAGATGTGCACAGAACACTTTTCTCATACAGAAAACAGAAAAGCACAAAGACTTGTAATAATGTATATTGCACACAGTTCTGAACGTAGCCGTGATTTGATGGATGGCTTTTTCCACAAAACTGAGAGATAAAGTTAAATACTCTAATTAGGTATCCAGATAGGAAACTTCAAATATGTGCTAGGTTTTCACAACCACATTTAGCCAGGAGTGAAGAGACATTTCCTTGCTTCTCCTCCCATGGTAGATATTAGACAAACTTTTGATGAATGGCCTAATTGCAGACACCTGCCAACACTAGAACAACCATTAGCTATTGTCCCTATTTGATACTCACTCAAACCTCAAACAAAATCCAAAAGTAGGTAACCAGCACCTGATGGGTTGGTGTGAGCAAAGTGCTTAACTCATTAGTTCCAAGATGTTTAATTGGATTATTTATACAGGTCTCACAAGGAAAGAAAAATCAATTTAAGTAATGAGGCCAGCTGTCACCAAAAAGGACACAGTAATCAGTATCCTTAAATTAACATAAATAATATCATAATCAACAAACAGGGAAACAGCCAAATCTGGCAGACTGGAGGAACAGAAAACAAGAAATGCTTGCCGTAAAATCAGAGTTCAGACAAAGCCCTGAGGGTGCCTCTGAGCTTTCAAATTCATGAAACAATCGGTAGAAAGGTTCCTTGCAGACTGAGACACAGATGCAGCATTTATCCTGCTTCACTAGATGAGAGATTCTATAATTTTTTTTTGCTATGTAAAAGATTAGCTCAGGTAAAAATGTTACATTTGAATCTGTCAGCCTAATGGCGGTACAGCCTGATTGTGTACAAGTAACGACACACTGTTCTACTGAACCCCTCAACATCAAACTGCTTCAAGTATTCACCCCTTGCTGTGAAAACGTTAACTTTGCCAACAGATCCTTGCCGACATTTTTGTTTCAGAAGTGGTTTAGTTTCAGTTGATAGAACACATTTTGTTACGGGGACTGTACTGTACCCAGTACCCAGATGTCTATAACAATCTCCAGAATTTGGCTTCCCACCTTGGAGAATGAAACATTGCTGTAGGTAATGCACCACTAGAGAGGGAGTCTTTTTCCCCCACACCCCACAAGCATATAGTATCTAAGACAACAGTTCAAAGAGAATGGCAGATGGCACCACGCATTACTAACAGCAGTGCATTGTGAAGTGGTTAAATAGATGGTGTTACAGGAAATTTAATGATTTAACCAAATGGGAGAAGTCTGTAAGTGCTTCAACAACTTGCGATATGCATTGAGCAGTGTACTTGCCTCTATTCAACTCTTGTGAAATTTTCCATTTCATCAGCCTCTCGTTAATCACATCACAGTAAAATTAAAATCTTCAAAGACCCTCAAAACTGACTTTTGAATAATCAATTCCAGGCATCAGGTTGTATGTTAAACAAAATGACTTAGCAATTTATTAACAACATAGTAACTCTATCAGTGCAAAAATTAAACAAAAAATTACTCTAATTGGTCTATGCTTTAAACCCAGCAGCCTTCGTTTTCAGCCCCATTCATCCAAAAGACAAGTTACGGGGAAATAAAAGAAAATAACAAAACTGGCACAATAACTCAAGTGGTTTTCATGATTGTTCCACAGGCATAGATGGTGGTTCCTTGGTTGATTTTTCTAAAGGAGTTGATCAGGGTCACCTTTATAGTTCACTCAGATAAAGACAGTAATACTTATAACTTAGTTTTGTATTCTTTGAACTTCCAAGAGCTGGTAATGGAGTTTAGGCAAGGAGCTTTCAAATCTCCATGCTGTAGCATCAGCCACCAGCATCCTTCTCACAGAAAATACAATCCAAACTCCGACCACTCCTTGATAAACTATCTCCTCCACGAGGTGCCAGTTAGCATTCAATATCTGCCATCTGCTCAAGTATAAGGTCTTTTTCAGACTTGTTGGAACCAATTCCCAGGTACTGACCTTATTATGAGCCAACTTCTGCCATCTCTTTAAACATACACCCTTCCCTGGTGATGAAGTGTCTGCAGAACCTTTTGATCAGAAACCAAGCTAAAATTAACTTCCAGGCCTGGCCTTGCAAATAAACAAAAGCTTGTTTGGTCCACTTTCAAATAAGAAAAATAATGAAAATCATCACAGCTTTAAAAAACTGAGGGAGAATGACTGGATTGAGGGCTGAATGATCTCCTGTACCATTCTAAGAACTTGACAATGCAGCCTACTTGGAATTTCTCATTATTTGGTAATCAATTTGCAGACCAGCTGCAGGTCCTTGTTGTAGGTGTTACTGTCGGTAACCCCTGAACAGCTGATGGTATTGAGAATCAGCTCCGTCCTACATCCTTTAGGAGGCTTCAGTTGCCTCTATTTCAGGTTTCAGCAATCCACCAACTACTAATCCAATGTGCAAAGATTTTGATAACACTTCTGTCTTGCACTTAACTTATTTTCCTATTTTAAAACAATGATTTCCTGACATCAGCTTTGGATCATAGTATGTGCTCTGTGGTCAAGGTTCAACAAAAGTTAAAGAATAAGACCTAACATTAGTGAAGAAAATGTCAGATAACAGAAACAATTTTCCACTAAATGGCGCAGAATGATATAATCAAAAAAGCATAGAAAACTGCTGGTCTTGTTAGAGCTCAGTCCCAGTGCATTTGTTTCAGAACACAATACAACTTGGATCACTGTTGGGATTTTACACTCTCTCTCTGTACAGGCGACTTTCTGATTGCCTTCATTTTCATTTGAAATAAGGCCAGCTATTTAAATTCCTATATGGGCATTGGGGTCATTCAATGTCACTTCTGTCTGTGCTACTTTCCTTTGTTTTCCTTAAATCACAGGCAAAGGGCACCAGCCACTGAGAAAATGCTGCAGGATTTCCAGTCATTGAGCTTCTGCAGCATTTTTGTGAAGAATGTACCTATGTCAATAATAAGGTGCAAAACCAAAAGATGTTGTGGAAGATAAGGCTAATGGTGTAGGGGGTAACATATTGGAAAGGATAGAAGATTGGTTGACCAACAGGAAGCAGAGAGATGGTA